GGAACAGAACTATGCTATCTAAAACCTAACCTCAGATGTGGTGAACGTAAAATTACATAATTTAACGATGCCTGGAACTCATATTCGATCTGTGGCCTGGTGGTGCATGGCAGGTGGTGGTCAAGGCCGGAAGAGGACAAAGCCAAGTGGTGCACGGCTGATTGGTGTAGGTCCGGAGAGATCCAAGGCATTTGATTCACGGCTTATTGGTGCTCAAAATTGGTGGTGCACGGCTGCGCTCCCGTAATTTTCTTCTGGATTTTTCGGTTTGAGCTGCGGTCGTTGATCGCCGACGGGCGTTAGTGAGCTGCCTAGCCAGAATATCTAACTTTGAAAGTCGAGAATCTTGTTGCTTTGTATTTAGTAAAACTTAGGAATCATTCCACAGAATCATAATTTCAACCTCGACGATGTCGCGGCCGCGCCATAAGCGGCGGAAGGAGAGCCGTGTGTGACTGTGTGTTTTTGTTTTCAGACGAAAACACCTGCTCTTCTTCTTTGCCTGCTCTAAGTGCTTCTATTGAACCACCTTTGCCAATAAGGGAGGCACTGAAAGATCTAATTTGGGTCCCTGAAAGTGGCAGGCTGAAACACCAAGCTTGCCATCAAGTATCAACAGCTGTATCCTCAGGAGCTCAGCAATTCCAGCTCCAGGCTCTCCTTTTGGGAGATTGGCTGCCTGTGGTGCCTGGTGCTGGTGGTAGAACTGGTACTGGTCTTTCCAAATTCCAGAAATGGTAACTTCAAAGGTTTTCATCATAAGGTAAATGTGGTGTATTCCAACACATTAAGGACATAGCAAAAAATGAATGGCTATAAAAAATCACCGTATGCACAACTCGAGTTCTGTTTGCTTTATGTCACTCTCAAAACACCGCACTAGACGCCAGCAACATTGAAACATCACAATTTCACAAAATGTTGCCAAATTTATTTAAAAGCCTTTTGCCTTTAGAATGCAAACCTACCAAATCCATTATTCTGACGCTGTGTGTAACTAAATTTAGCATTTTGTGAGACTAATTCCGGCTGCGCTTCAAACTCTACTAATTCGTAATTCCGACACTCATGTGTTTGAATTCCGATCCCTATGTGAGCTGTCTTGGAATACAACACAGCTTGGAATTAGAACACTATTGAATATTGAACACTACTTAATTAGGCTTTTAATTAAGATCTACTAAGCTTTTAATGAAGAAAATTTTAATTTTTGCACACAGCTTGGAATGAGCTGTGTGTGTCTAATTCCAAGCTGTGTCAGAATTAGTTTTTATGTGTCTAAAACCGTCTCTTAACCTAATCATCTATTAATTAATTTACACTTGAAATCAGCAATTACAAGTAGGTATACACAAAGGATTCCTAATATTCACAGACTTATTTAAAAGTCTCAAACCATAATATTCTTTCTACACAAACAGTTTATTACTATTTGGTAGAGCAAGGTCAACTGTCAAATTTGAGACATTTTTCGATGTTCTCACTGGGTGATGCGCACTGTCTCTCTTTGGATCTCATCATTTTCCTGCCAGATGGCCCAGACCTGGTGTTTTGGCAATAGTATGGCACGAAATAGTATAATGTCACTATTTCAACCATCAACGAATGCGTGTAACTAAGACAAAGCTTAATATAAAGGAAAAAAGTTGAGAAGTGTCAAAATTACCCACGATGTCGGAATATACTGCGTTTACCCTAGCAAAAATAACTTGTGTGAACTCTCCATGAGCTCAGTAACTTGACTAACTTCTGAAGATGAAATTCTGATTCCTGCTCAGAGACCTGGCATGCAAAAGAACAAGAGAAAATCCACTGAGTTTACCAAGCAGGTAGAAACTCTAGCCTCTGACAAAATTATAAGCAGACACTGCAATAGCTTATCACCATAAAACACTGGCATCAAAAGAAACACAACCATTCAATTTCCTATTATTTTGAAATGAAAATCTTGAACCATGGTATTTGTTACTTAGTCTGCACTTTGCATGTTTCAAACTTTTAAAATTAAGTTTTATTTCAAGTGTGTCCCGGATTACCCTGTTCCCAGGGGTAATTCAGGACGCTTTATTGTGTGTCTGGCACCTTAAGAATAACATATGGAATTTTTTAAGATGCCGTACAATAGCCCTTGGAAAGAGCTATAAAATAAGCCCAAACTTGTTTAAAAAATGTTTCATGGTAAGAAGCAATTAACAAAAACGCTCAAAACAGTCCTTTGTTACCCTGTTTGATGGTTCTCTCCTAATTACAAAAATTTCTTAAATGTTGCTACACTGTTTGGAAATCAGCACTGTAACAATTGGTTGTACCCACCATTTATGGAAAATTCTGTCCAATATTGGTCAGAAACTTAAACTTCCATGTTTTTTTATACTCACTTCCACAGTCAAGCTTAAGATTAAAAAAAATCACAGTTTACCCTAAAGTACCGTCAAACAAGGTAATAAGGGACGGGCAGGGTAAATCAGGACGTGCGTCCCACATGTCGTACAAATGTTGTAGCAACAAAACTAATCAAAATATTGCAAAACTGAAAATAGTGGCACAAACTTCAACATTTTTACTTATCTATTATGTATAAAGCTAGTTTAGAAATCATACATTTACATCTCTAAAAATGGCTGAAAATAGTGTGAAAAGTGAGATTTTGGAAGATTACCTCTACTATGGTCTGAAGCAAAAAAATATTTGGCGTATTAAAAAATTTTACTTACCTAAAAGTTGCACACAGGTGTAGGCTTGAAAACGCAATTTACGGGATTTGCCTATCTCATTCCCCAAAAAATGGCTGCCATTTCTGCGCAACGGGGTAATAAGGGACACCCCCCCCCCCGACTAATAAGGGACGCCCTTAAAAACGCATTTACAGTAGAACCTTAGTTAGCAAAGACTCCAGTTAACAAAAAAAATTTATTAACAACAAACAATTTTGATTACATTTACCTTGCTCATCAAAAAAAATTTAGCTTATTGAAAAATTAGTGCATCATCGGTCAGCACAAAATTGTGTGTGGAATGTCATGTATAGAATTGTGCAACGGGCATCATAGAATGAAAAGTAATTGACCTAAACTTCGATTTATTTCTCCAAAACATATGATGGTTGTCACTAAAACATTCCTTTTTTTTTCAGGTATGTTTTTACGATCTTTTTTTATGGTGAATTCACTTAACCCAATTAAAATGGTGTGAAATTAAAAGCCGTCCTGTAAGCTTACAGATACATAAGAAGCACTACACGGCTGCTGATATGAAGCTTGCAGTGGACAAGGTCATTGTAAATACTCAATGGCATGTTCATGGATACGGTAATACCACATCAATAATACGGTAATTGATGAATATGGTAATATCATATCAATAAAGGAAAAACAAGTAAAAATCACAAAAAATGTCATTCATTCTACATCTATATATACTATACATCATCTACAATGAAATAGGAGGACTTTAGAGTACTGTTAATATTGGATGAGTACCATGAAATGGGGTAACTTAGACTACTTTTTTTTAAATGATGCCATTTTTTTACTAGCCAAATTTATCCTTAATTGAAATGTGCAAAATACAGGTCTATAGGTACTCTAGGTTCACTCACCATAAATTGCTGGCTCCTTCATCTCATATTTTTTATGTCATTTCCAAAAAAATGATGGTCTTTGTTACTCCAGCTCCTGGCGTACGTATCTTAGACTGGGTGGTAAAATCAATTATATTATTTGGTAAAATAACTCCAGGTTTTGGTGCATTGTAGTAGAACTCTTCTAGTTACATATGCAAATGACAAATTTGAGGAAAGTGTCATAGTTTGCAAATGGGGGGCGCTGCCCCTGAATGCGGGAACTTAGATCACCTAATGTCAGCCGTGAAGGGGTAATATTTATATTAAAATTACCATATATATATATATATATATAAGACTCTGTAGAGTCTGAAACATAAAGAAAAAACATTAATAGGTGTATCAAACATGAAATGTGTTATAAATGGTAATTTTAAATTAATTTCCAAGTCAGTCTATGTTACCCCATCAGGGCTGACATTAGGTGGTCTAAGTTCCCCCATTAGGGGGTGGTGCCCCCCATTTGAAAACTATGACACTTTCCTCAAATTTGTCATTTGCATATGTAACTAGAAGAGTTCTACTACAAAGCACAAAAAACCTGGAGTTATTTTACCAAAAAATGAATAAATTGAATGGGATTCTATGACAGGCTTTAAATAATAGCTCTTTTTTGTGGGTCACATTTTTCATTTTTTAACCTATTAGATATGCATAATTTTTTATCTCTCTATTGTGTTACATAGCCTCAGTATTAGGCCTTTAATGCCCCTTGACAAAATTTTTCCATGTCAAATAGTTTTTGAGTTTTGAGGGTTTTTGTTAAAAAACTAAAAGTGGTCTAAGTTAACCCCGGGAGTCTGTTACCCCATTTTACGGTACACTCTGCTTGCTTCAAACGTTTTAAAATTAAGTTTTATTGCAAGTGTCCCGGATCACCCCATTCCTGGGGGTAGTTCAGGACGCTTTTATTTTGCGTCTGGCGCCTCATGTATAGCACATGCATTTTTTTTGGGATGCCATTCGATAGCCCACGCAAAGAGCTTTAAAAGGAGCTTAAACTCGTTTCTGAAATGTTTCATGGTAAGAAGTTATTTACAAAAAATGCTCAAAACCATCCCTTATTACCCCATTTGATGGTATAGCTGCTTCAAAGACAGTGTTCTTTCATTTTTGATACTTTCATTTTTGATACTTTCATTTCCTATCTTTGATGGCTTAAATTTTTAGTAGGTACTGGTATTGCAATTAATAGCTGGGAGATGGCTTGCTTTCTTCATTTCAAATTTTAATCCTGTAAATAATTTATTGAAAAATAAGATTAATTTGCACCTGTTGTATGTATTTTTTCTTGTTTAACAGTATCTTAAGATTAAGATTATCAGTATCTTATTTATAATAAAACTTCATGCTTGAACTGTAATTTTTATAATTTGCAGGTGCACTGAAGTTTGTATTGCCCTTTTGTCTTTCCATGCCATGTAAACAAAGTAGTATGCATGTTTTACTGAAAGACCTTGCAGGTAGTCTCTACACAGCTTACCTATTTACTCACTTTGTTTTTATTTACCTACCTATATACTGAATCTGATGTTATACTCATCAGAGAAACCTATTGAGCTGTTGAAGTGTTATGGTAAAACTGCTACTTGCTATTCAAAAGAAAAGTAATGCTGATCCTGAATAGTTATAAATTTTAATTGATCTTAAATATACGGTATATGTTATTTATGAATCATTATTCAAATTTTTAAAAATCAAAATGGGGACTTTCATTCCACACCATGGGGACTATATGATCAAGGTAAGAAAAGAGGATAATTTTGTAAAAAAAAATACATTTCTGAAGTTATGCTTAGTAAGTTTTATCACTGCCTTCTCTATTATGATCCTCCATTTATATCATACTGCTAATGTATAATGGTTCATATTTTCAATTCCCTACTTACATTTATTTTCCTAGATTTTTACTCACAACCTCTAACATTGCATTGCTGAAACCTCCTGAATTACTTTGAAAAATATGCATAGCCTTCTCATCTTGTTGGTAAACAAATTGTAAATCATGATATGAAGCTGTACCTGTTTTACATATGGAAATAATTTTATGATCTGGAAGCCCACATGTAAACTGAAAAGAAAATTTGTGATCATTTGGTTTTTTGTATCAAGAGTACATTTTATTTTCTGCTCATGTAGGTACTCAAAAATCTTCAAATGTTTTTAAATACCTATTTAAATACTAAATACCTAGTTGAAAGATGATAATTGAAATTAAAATTAAAAGTAAAAATATGAAGCCATATTTTTTGTTCTTATCGTCCAGAATGGTAGTTGCTCAAGGTAAACGCTAAACAGACTTTTTCATGTTCATTCTTTTAGAAATGTAATTTTTAATTGAGTGCAATATTTAATCATGGGAGTCAAGAGTGCTCCATACTATTTTCAACCAAGTTGGTTTAGTGATTAATACAATTTTTTGTAAGCAACAATTTTGTTCATCCTGCATTGTTTTGCAGCATGAGCAGTGCTACCATTGTGCTGGCTTCTATGGCCCCTGCTTTGGCGAGCCTCTCTGTGCAACCTGCCACGAGTTCTTGTGTCCAGCAGATCCTTTCAGCAGGAAGCAACCTCTACAGCTCTGTGATGTGAGCATACCTTGCCTCTGCTTGACCAAAGTATTCCATGAATTACTGAGCAAAATGTTCATTTATCAATTTTAATTATCACACCTAAGTATACTGGTAGCTGAGTAATTTTAATTATTGAATCCTTCCATAAATTCTGTTACGTACTTGTTATCATTTTTGCAGGCAAGCATAAAAATATGCAGAAATTCAAATTTCTTCATATTTTCAAAAACCAGTACAAGAAATTAATAGGTAATTATTACCTATAAGATATATTTACTCATACCGTATGTATTTTCAAAATTTTATCTTTCGAAGGTGTAATTTGCAGTTGAATAATTCTGAAATATGGTCAGTATACTCTAAAAAATGTATTACCTGGTACTAAGACATTAAAATGTAATGCAATATCTTCAATTTAATTCAATTTTATCAACTTACATCAATTAAATAAATAGATATTGCTACTTGCATCTTCAACAGAAATGCGGAAAGAGCATCAATTCGATTATCTAAGCCAAAACTTTCATTTAAATGCTCACATTGTAATTTTTGGGTACCTATGGCTGTTGTTGTTGTTGTTTTTGGAGTTCCCTAGTCTCCCTTTTACAAGAGACCCCCTTGCACAAGCAGGACACCACCAACAGGTCACTCCAGAGCTGTAGGATTGAGGTTATGTGCTGGTGTTGTCTGAGATCCTGTCAGAGCAGACATTCCAGAAGGATGTGCGCGAATGTGTGGGGAGCTCTCTGGCAGGATAGACAGGTGTCTGAGTCTGCTTGATGGCTGCTTGACCAATTCTGTTTATGTACGTTTGTAGTGAAGGGTGGTGGCCGCAGCGGAGCCTGGCTAGGTGTACTATCTCCAGTCTAGAGAGCTGGGTTTCTGTGCTGCTTATGTCAGGTGGTGGGTGTCCAAGGACTTTTTTTGTTGCCAGCTAGCTCCAGCGTTCTAAGTGTCATAATTGTGTGTAAGTTTTTTTTCTGTGCTGGTGTTGCCTTGTGGTGGGGGTACTGTGTTTAGTATACTGGTGTATGATGCTATGGATAGAACAATGGGCAAACGATTGGCAATTGGCAGAGGCATGACAATGAAGCCTCAAATACAAACTAGGAGCCATGTGTGGTCTTCTTGGGAGATAAGCGACCATATATGGTCACTCAACCATGAACGATTATAATACAATATACCACTTGGTGTTACTAATGTAAGCTTGTCTGTAATTTTTACCACCATCAAATATCATATAAATATATTCTCTCGCATGGTCTAAGCTTATTGTGGAACATCCTAAAATCTCTATCCAATAGACATTAATAAATTGAGATGTACAGTATACCAGGTGTTGAGAGCTACATGCATTAACTAGTACCTATTTATTGTTTTATTTTGTGTAAAATTTGTATTGTCAGTGTTAGAGCTCACTTATTAATGTGAAATTTATTTTTATTAGAGTTAATAATTATTTTTTTAAATATATGACCGATGTAATTTTCACTAATGAAGAAAATTTGTATTTGTTGCAGCAAAAAGCTGATGAGTGTGACTCAGGAAATGAAGAACCCCGAGACAGCCAGCAGGACTGCGTCGCCCCGCCTCGCATTGTGCGTCTGGATGGCGACAGAGTTCTGTATCAGTACCCTGACACATCTTCTAACAGCCCCACATCTCCTAGCAACTTTCCCACAGATCCTTCTGATTGTTTCTCCTCTAGTAACTACTCGGTAGACAAATACTCTGTTGCCTACGGCGCAGCTGGTGGTGCAACCTATTCATCTACTGGGCCTGGTCCATGTCCTTCATTGGATTACGCTACTTGCTCAACAGTCAATGCTGCCAGCATACCTAACAATATCTGTGACAAAAGTAATGCACCCTTGTCATCTTTTTCTGCCTCTGGATCTAACCATGGTGCGCCATACTCAGTTGCACTTCGTGTTGACCCAACATCTAGCAACTTCGTACCTAAAGAAGAATCACCTCGCTTTCCTGTTCACAGAGGGGATGATTCTGTTGATTCTTCTTCATCTGATTCAGATGATGAAAATGGCAAGCGCTTGTTCTTTATGGTGACTAGTAAAGTAAAGGCTCTTTGTTCTGTGCCCGGTGCTGAACGGTATCCGAAACTCAAAGAACTCGAGCGTTCATTTGCATCAATCCTTGGCAAACAGTTTGCTGAAAATATTCCTAGTCTATTTATGAATGAACTTTTCATTGGAGATAAGGCTGAAAATGACCCAATGGTTGCCGCTCAGCGGCGGTTGGTCATGGAACAGGTGCTGGCAGACTTGAACAGGTCAGGCGAGGCTGACTATCAGGACCCCATTGACAAGATGATAAATGAACTGAAGTCATGTGACCCGCATAGTCTGTGCCACAAACCCAATGGTAAAGTCAGAAGAATTACGCGTAAGAAGCACAGCAGATGCTTGATTAACAAGTACTCAGAAGAACCAGAAGCAAGCGCTTCTTGGCAGACAAGCAGTAACAACAACAACAACGCATATCTCAACGTGAGCAATAACTCTTGTCGCTGTAGTTCTGCTCAGAGCAGCTGTGAGCTGCAGGAGCGACTTTGTCTCCTCACCAACCACCTGAGATTCGCTGAGAGCACGCCCACTCCTCTCATCAACAGAATTCCTCCTGAAGGTAAAGCTGTTTTTCAGGTTTTTCTTCACCAATATATAGAGATTTTTCAAATACTGCCTTATGTCCTTTCATTCTAATCTGCAATTGAACGCCAATGAGTCGCAATGAGGTATAGGTAATTTCAAAGCTGTTTTCTTTTTGTATTCACCTTGCTTCTTAAATGCAGTTTCCTGCACATTTCCCGTGTGTAATAGCTGTGCGATGAGCTAATCTTTTATGTTCTCCTCCTCCCTTACAAGTATGGCTGGCGGTGTTCAGGAAGATGGACGACGTGTCCTTGTGGCGCGCCTCCCGCGTCTGCAGGTCGTGGAAGGAACTGATCCTGCGTCACTGGGGGCATGACAAGTGGAGGAGCTTCACGCTCAACAGGTGGCGCTTCTTCAAGCCGCTCTACAACCCCAAGCACTGGCACGCCATCTACACCAGCCTGTCAGTCAAGTCAAGTCCAGGATTTGCGTTCGTGTTGCCTAATGACGCCATCTATAATTTTTTTTTTTTGTAAACTAATCATTTTTGAGTGGCTATTATATCCATCATGGGATCTAAACTACACTGCCAGTCGAATCAAGCGTATAAATTTCGCTGTTTGGGCCATTTATTACACCTTGTTTGTTTTGTACAGAATTGTTTCTTTGTGCATCATCTGATACGAGGTATCTTTGATTGTCCCATGATTGCTGTCTTGTGGAAGATGACCCAGAATAAATATTACTGCTCAAATTGATGTTAATTATTGCAGCGCTCATTTCATCTTCATCTTTATATCTAATCTAGCTAACATCAAATTCCTTACTCAGTGACAACGTAACTTACGCTCAATCTGATGCCCAGTGATTATGACCACTGAATTGGGTACCTAACTCAATGATCAACTTATTCCAGTTGGTACCAATGTGTTCATGTATTCCCTGAATCAACTTGTGTTATATACTGAAGAGCCCGGATGGTATTGTTGATATTATTTATTAATCAGGATGGAGGCGTCGCCATGCCAGAGCTGCCAGAGTGTCATGTTCAGGCCGGTGCGCGCGACGGTGTTGACGGAGCAGCGCAGCTGGCGCATGACGCGACTGCGCACCGAACTCAGGAGTGAGTGCCTTAGCAATAATTGTTACCTTATTAAGCATCGTAATCTCGCAATACTTTATTGAGCTACTTAATTTCTTTATACTAAATTGAAGATCCTAATTTTATAATTTTCTTTCCTGTGACGACACATCGTGCAAAATTTAGAAGCTAGTAGGCAAAGTATTAGAAGGGTTCTTCACCAGTCTTGTACGTAAACATTCGCTGTAGAAGTCATCCAGCTGAAATCCGGAGTGAAGTAGCCAGAATAAGAGAAAATTCCGAATAGATTTCATTACTGACTGCCATTGACCCTACGCTCCGCAGCCGTGTTTCTTAACATCTTACACGCCGGTACAAGTACTCAAAAATTTGCCTCGTAAGAACCTTTTAAACGCATGTAATTAGTAAGACTTCATACTGTTTTCAGAGGTCAAAATTCAGAACTTGTGGCGAAATACTCTGAAGAAAAACTCGTTTCTTGCTGGTTTTTCAATCATCTCGAACTCGTTATAGACGAAGATATTGCTATCAAAAATCTTCTGTTCCAAACGATACTCAAAAATAACTACTTTTCAGTATTAACTTAGTTTCCTATTTTCGCTAATTTAAGTTTGGGTAATTATGTACATTTTATGGCTCTAAGACGCTCTTCATGACCGAACTAACTTTTTCTTGCTCGACAGATCTGCTGTCCGATTCTCCTGAAGGCATCGAGGCGATCCCTTTGGACATCCAAGCTCTTCACTGGCAAGCCTCCATCAGAGGTCCTGATGAGAGTCCTTATCAGGGCGGCACCTTCTTCCTCCACATCCTCATCCCTCCGAGGTCACTGCAATGTCTAAATTCATTTTACTAAGACAGAAATTCGGCAGAAATGTCATAAATGTTTCCAGCCAATAAATGTAGTAATTCATTTGTACTTGCATCTAACTCGAAAATTTTATTGACCTCTACGACGTCACAAACACTATTTGTGACTTGAATTTAATGAATTAATTAGCTGGTTGATGGGTTTTTGCATAAGATTATTCTCGATAAGATGTCCTAGGTAAAAAATTAATTGACGAGTAGTTCATTTGATGCGTAATTCATTTAATGAGTGATCAAATAACGTTTCCTATAGAATTGCGTTTCTCCCACGGCTCCAACTAACCAGTTTGATATCATATCTCATAGGGAAAGTTATAGCCCTAGCGAAATCCACTTGTTAGATTTATAGCAAAAGTTTAACAAACTGGAATCAAAATGAAGTAACCATGAAAAAATGAAATGAAATAATGACGGTGATCTTATCTATTGATAGATTGAGAAGGATATGTGTTTATGGCTTGGTTTTGTCGAGAAGTATATTTAAGGATTCTAAAATTCTCAATTTGGGGGAAAAAAGCGGGAGCTAAAACTGGAAAATCTCTTATCGGTCACCGGGACTTGTGATGCGTCATGTCATGACGACTTACGCCAATTCGCACACGTGTATTTTTGACTATTGAAGATTTAAGGTGGACTTTATAAGAGTATCTTTAAACATAAAATATAACCGAGTTTTAAATATTAGAAAAAAAAACTTGAAAGCTTGCATTAAGAACGTACAACATTTTTCAATCCTTTCGATGTTTTCTATGTGTAATAAGTCTAGCTAAAATTATGCATACTTCTGTCGAGAACAGTGCGGTAGAGAACAAAATCTTGACAATATTTGTAAGCTTTTCTGCCGGAAATATTTATTTTCGCTAAAATATAACAGAACTAATGCAATGGTAGAGCTAATCTCGATCAGTTAGAATAAAAAGTAGAAATTTCACATCACATCCCTCTTTAATTAATTTCAGGTTTAGAACTGCAATATTTTTTGTTCATTGAGCTGTTATGATGCTAACAATACAATTTTCGCAGGTACCCGTTAGGCCCTCCCGTTGTTCGGTTCCTAACAAAAATCTTCCACCCGAACGTGTCGTGTCACGGCGACATCGGCATTGACTCCATCCAGCACAACTGGTCCCTGGCGCTCACCATCTCCAAAGTGCTCATCTCCATACAGTCTCTGCTCACCGATCCCTACACCACGGTCCGAATTCATGAATTATTATTTGATTAATTCAAAGTTACTTTGCTACGGATTTGTACAATCGTATTTTACCTATACACCACGGTAAAAATTACTATCGTCACATGTGAAGAACGTAGAATGGGATTGAGGAAAATGTGATCGAAGGAAATAAGAAGAAGAGACAGAATTTCGAACTATCATGTATTATATCTATCCTTAAAAACGCCGCTTTGCGTTACCAGTTGACAATATAATGCACGTATGTACATGTGAAATGACTGAATTTAAATTGTTTAAATATTGAAATAATGTACTAATCATGTAACTATGTGCAGGTGTGTATGAACCCTGTGGCTGGGAGGCTTTACGACTCCGACCGTCCCAAGTTCGACGCCGTGGCGCGGGAGTGGACGTGGCGCTACGCGATGGTGGACGTGCTTCAACCCGCCCCATCCGCGGCCGAGCTCGACCTGGTCTGTCATTATTGTATTTACATTGAATATTCTGCTTACATTCAAGCAGCCTTTTGGCTTCTGGATGAAACGATTTCGTAAAAGAAAATACAGGTTTATTGATCCGGGATCTTGTGTCTTTTGGACCAGAGACTTGCTGGCCTTTGATTCAGAGGCCAGCTGATTTTGAACAAGAGATCTGTTGGCTGTGGGATGAAAAATCTGCTGGCTTTTGGATCCGAGACATGATTTTGTGTTACTCCTTAGCCTGTTGGCTGTTTGTTTGAAAACAGCAAATTAAGATAACGTCTTTTATTTCATTATTCATTGACGTTGAAGGTCTTGAAAGATTACTTGGCCCAGTACATCCCTCGTTTTTCTCGAATTTATCTTTTCCTTTGATGTGTCTTGTCGTTTCAACTCTAATAAGATGCACAATCGAATTTTTTTTGTTCTTGACTAGAATAGTACTATATTTAAAATCAAGTTGAAGTACCCCAATTGACATTTATAATAATCAACCTTTAAATACTATTGCAATCTAATTTTTCCCTCAAAAATTGTTTCATTATTCTTTTTTTGTGGTCGGGAAGAATTAATTCATATTGTAGTGTACTGGTTTTCTACAATTTTCTCGCAATTCTTTCCCTTTTTATAGAGGTAGGTACTGTATAATTTTAATATGCTGTCATCTATTATGTAGGGAAAATTACTGTAGCTAAATCCAAGTGCGATTCTTGATGATTGCAGTGCGCAGCAGCGTCAGACTCGTTCGAGGACAACAGCATGGAAGACTTGAGTTGCCTGCTCCAGGATCCTGGAGAAGACGACAACAACGATCAGGAACCCGACAACAACGACCAAGAGCAGGACAACAACGAACCCGATAACAATGAACAAGAACAAGATAACAACGATCCAGAACAAGTTGACCCTGGCCAAGAAAACATGGACCAAAATTAGGAAATGTTAAGTTGAATGCAGCGTGACTCGCGCGTGATAAATTTAAAATTTCTAGGTGCCATTTCCGGCTTATTCCGTTGAACAGTTTGATTATATGAACGATCTCAGGCGTCATTAATTGAATGCTGTAACTTTTATACCTTTGTCTGGAACGGATGTCGCCAAGCTTTGTTTGCGGCGAGACAGATTTCAAACAATAACTGGTACTATACACTCGATTGTTGTGTTCGGAGTATGCAGGCCGGAGCTCTTCATCACGTAACTTCATATTTTCTATTACCAGTACGGGCTTTTTGCCTGTTCTCTGCTCTATGGTACAATTTGATTGCATAATTGAATACGTTATTCCGCTTTAACTTCGTGATTATGTCACAAACGACTCATAACCTGAACAATAAGCTTATTGTACATCATGTATATGGAGTTTTTATTCTTCCTTTCATTATTCTTCCTTCCGCACAGACGCCGTGTTTATGTTACCTCACTGCAGGCGTACGTGCAGCGATATCCCAAAATGCGGATGTTTATATCAATAATATCCAGTGACTCATAATGTAGATAAAAGTTTCTACGTTTTGTTGCAATATGCACCTTGAGGTGCAGGCCTTTTTTTACGTCATGCCTTCCTCGGTTAATTGTATCTCTCACGTTTTATATATGCTATGAACTCGAATTAAATTGTTTCTATTTCCTAGTAGAATCTGGCCATAGCATACGAGGATCTTGGTAACTCCCAAATGATAAAACGGTAGAGCGACCAGTGATTTTAGTAGTCTTATTGTCTTATTGTGTATTGTGCTTCTGATTCATTACGGTCGACTGCCGAAGATAATCGTGACAGGCTGACTATTATTTTACGACAGGCAATAAGTTGGAGACCAGTGTTCAGATAATTAAATTGCAGAATATATTTCTTTTCCTTCATGGGTCAGTTGAAATCTTAATTGATTCAAAGATATTTTTCAGCTTCTATCTTTCTCATCTGGCCGCTCATTTCGCTCAATTATTTTTTAAATGCAGAATATGAGGCCAATTATATAGGTATATAAAGTGATTCTTAGTGTGATGCCGCATGTGCTGGGTCCATGGCAGTTGCAGAATGCATGGTAAAGAAGTTCCTAACAGAATCGCAAATTTCGCGCTTAATTTCTGTCAATCGCTTGGTAAGATTTAGTGTGCGCTTTGAACACAACCTTTGCTTTGTGAAGTCCCAATTATTGAAATATTGGTCACTCCAGTAGTGAGAGAAAATACAATCTTGAGCTCGAATCAATCTAAAAAAGTTTGTCGCACTGCAGTGAAAAACGTCGAAAAAAAATATTGCTAAAAATGCAAACAAGAATCCGAAAGCCTTCCTTTTGTACGCTAGTATTGAAGTGTAAGTCAAAGGACGGTATTTCTAATTTGAAAGTAGACCAACGAAAGATTTCCTCTGAAGAGGGCAAGGCTAACGTTCTTAATCAGTTCTTCAGCAGTGTGTTCACAGATGAGGACTTGAACAGTATTCCAGATATTGAGGAGCGCCCAGTCGGCTCGAAGTTAACAGGTTTTGAAATACACGAAGAAGAGGTTCTCAAGCGCCTAGTAGCTCAAAATCTCAACAAGTCATGTGGACCAGACGGCTTCCATCCCAGACTGCTCAAAGAATTAGCAACCGTTCTGGCCGGCCCATTGATAGTATTCTTTCAAAAAACCTTGAACGAAGGAACTTTGCCGTCCGACTGGAAATTAAGAAGCTCAAGTAAGAAAATTGTTCAAAAAAGGTGACAAAAGCAGCCCCGGCAACTATCGCCCAGTCAGTCTGACAAGCGTTGTTTGTAAGCTAATGGAATCTGTTGTAATTGATAGGATTATCGATCACTTGACTGCTCACCATCTCATATCAGATTGTCAACATGGTTTTATTGCCGGTAGATTCTGCACCCCTAACTTATTATCTACGTTGAACGATTGGACTCGCCTGCTGGACGAAAGGGAGCCAGTGGATGCATTGTACCTCGGTTTTGCCAAAGCATTTGACAGTGTTCCGCATGAGGGGCTGTTACGTAGAGTGAAGTCTCTGGGAATTAAGGGAAACGTACTCCAATGGATCAGAGATTTTGTAGTAGGTAGACGACAACGTGTCAGTATTAACGGAACCGTGTCAGACTGGGCATCAGTGCGCAGTGGCGTGCCACAAGGAAGCGTTCTTGGGCCTATTTTTTCGCTGCTTTTATAAACGATCTGCCAGAAGCTGTGTCTATAGCGTGTGCTCCATGTATGCCGCGACGACACAAAAGTTTATAATTCAGTGAAGGATGCGTCAAATAAAGCGCAATTGCAAGATGATCTTGACAGTTTAGTTAACATGGGCTGATACGTGGCAGCTGCGGTTTAATGCTGCCAAGTGTAAAGTACCGTACTTCACCTCGGGAAGAACAATGAACAGCAAGATTACAGTATGAGAAGACATGGTTGCAACGAGAGAGTAATGATTGAAAAGTCCAGTGTGGAAAAAAATCTCGGAGTTTATGTCGACAAGGAGCTAAAATTGTCTAAGCATGTAGAAACGCAAGCTAACACATCCAACAAACATCTTGGATTAATCAGACGCTCATATGAGTTCCAATAGATGCAGAAGCGATGAAGCAGTTGTTTGTTGCCGTCGTGCGCCCGAATCTAGAGTTTGGAAACGTTGTGTGGTCACCGAGATTAGAAAAGGACAAAAATTTAATAGAGAATGTTCAAAGACACGCAACAAGGATAATTCCAGGCTTGAAGGGTAAGTCCTATGAAGAAAGATTAAAGATTATGAAGCTTCCAAGCCTCAGTTATCGACGTCTGCGTGGGGATGAGTGGGGACCTCATTGAAGTATACAAGTATATACTCATGGTTTATACAAGGTCCCCGAAGGATTACTAGAATTTGAAACATGAACCAACACCAGGGGCCACAGCTATATATTAAAAAAACGGCACTGCAACTTCTCCACGCGCCAACATTTCTTCTCGCTTCGAATCACCAACATGTGGAACAGCCTCCCCGATGACATCGTTGGCGCTCCAAGTATGAACGCGTTCAAGAATAGACTAGATAAAGCTATGAAAAAATATATGTTCAGATTTGAAATGCCTAACACCAATAGGTCGATCGGTCGACCTGTTGGAGGAAGAGGAGCAGTGTTAGTATATTTAGACAATACGACAAAGCAATATCAATTGAGATGAAACTTATGGTGAACGTCGGTTCACCATAATCGGTGAAAACCGGTGAAAATGCTCACTCGGTTAATTTCATCTAAATTTGTCAGCCTGATCATCACCGGCCTTTGAATTGGTTTTAAAATGCAAATTTTGAAAATAAAAATGACAAGTCAATTATACCCGTTTATGAAATAAACTGCTTTGCTCAGGCTGCAAAATGTGTTTTCTGGATAACCGGAAGCTTGCAGTGAATTTAAGTAGACGTTTATCATGCCCGGGAGACTTGATCGACCTTTCAGCGATGGACCTCAGACTTATATAGGAACGCGAAATCCCATAGGACTTCTGACGAGCACAGACACACGTAGTCAGAAGTCCCCCCTGAGGGGTGAAGCAGATTACGGTGATGCAAATATTCTGTTCTAATATCAGAACAAACATGTGGCAACGGGAAAAACACCTATCACCATATACGCAACAGATATCTTGCAATATGGGGATAGAAATACACCCACAATAACTTACAATTATAAATATAAGAGAGCTTACCTGCTAATACGAGAAAATCATACAATGCACAAATAAATGGGACGTTAATATTGACTGAAGAGTAAAAAATAGGTCTAGAAAATAGAAATGTAAGAAAATAGCATTCACATTATGCACTGACCGACGTTAAGAGTTAAGGCGGATGATTATATAAATAAACAACAGGTCAACAACGTCAACAACGGGAACCTAGCTGCATGGTAAAAAAATATAACTCAGGACTCACTGCAGCGAGTGACAGAGAGCGCATTTTCTCGTTCGCACGTCCGTGAAGTCATGGACAGACGGACGGACGGACATGACGAGCACAATAGCGCCTTTTTTCCATAAATGTGAAAAAACGCTAAAATGAGACTATATAGCGAGCTTCGCTGCTACAATGCGACGTGTAGTGGCCATATGCATCTGCATGTAGGGACATTGAGAAAAAAATTTACAGACACGTAGAAATCCAAATAATTAAAGTACAATAGAAGTCCCTCGTCAAGAAAATCTTTTTTTTTTTTTTGTCAACACTGCAGAGAGAATGTTAGCATAAAAAAAGAGATGCATAAAAAACTTCAGCTTGCAGTTATTGTTTGCCTGTCTCAAGCCTTGGTCCAGCAGGCTTGCAACTGCCGCTGTTATAGAAGAGCTCGAGTCGCCCTAGACGGTGCACAGGATGTGAGTAACAGCATCAATTAGGAAGACCTTGTAGGGCGGCAACGTGTTTGATGTACGTACTTTGAACGCCATTATACAGTTGGTGTATCCCAACAGCCAACACATGTCTCTTATAATACGAATATGATCCTAATAATATTGTGACCCATTGAAATACTTAAATCCTTCGAGTGCACTGATATGAAGAGTTAATAAAGATTTGCCTCTATATAGCTTCTTGCATCGTGGGGCCAATGGGTGGATATAATTCCAGAGGCCGCACTAGCATGATGACTAAGCACAAACACAAATCACAGTGTAGGTCACATTACATGAAAGAAGCATGCATGCATGATGTCACAACAACAATATCATGGTGAAGCAAAAGCATGTTAGAAGGACAATCATGACGACACACAGACATAAAGGCACGGCGAGCAAGAAGGCAACAGACAAGATGACGGAGCGCAAATGCACGAAAGTGAATTGTGAGCATGGAAGCAATTAATGCATGAAAGCAAATTTTCGACATGTTGGCAATATGCACGGGTATGAAGGCAATAAAGTTGCCAGTTGATCGTTATAAGGCAACGTATGAAGCCAGGGCAATGCATGAAGGCGAAGCTTAAATTTTAGTCCTGAAGGCGATACATGAAGTCGAATTATATATAGGCCTGTTGGCTATACATATATAGGTTAATTATTGTGGGTATGGAGGCAAGCGGCAGGCATGGCGGCTACGACGTCGGGCGGCGCCTGGCTCCCGGGCGCTAACAGGCGTGACGAGAAGCCAATAGCAGCGCAGCGGCGGCCTTAACAAGCGTGACGGTCCACCAATAAACGCGTGTCCCTCACTGCACACACAGTGAAGTAATCAATGAGAATACAATTGTCTTCATATCACTAATGTTCGAAGTTGATAAGGAATTGATTATCGAAAACACTAAGGCTGGTCATCAACGTACGAGCTCGTTCATTATTATTATATAACATATTTTATTTATTATTATATGCTTGGTTTGTTACGTTGAATAAGACATTAATTGTGTATTATTTCCTGTGCAAAACTTTTATCTTAATTCCTTTGTAATCTTTGTCAAATACATACATCATGTAGGGTAACATGGGGCAGCGAGCCCACTGCTGGTCACGGGCCCATAGCGGGTTTCTCGCTAAGTATGGCAGATATTGGTCCGTGTTCTCTACCGCCGGTCGACAGTTTCACTGTAAACAAAGAACCACCTCGTATCAATTAAAACTTCATCAAAAACTTAGTTTAAAAAAAGTGGGGGGCGCG